AAGTACACAGCTGCTACATTTGCCAGCAATCCCGGCCAGAAATACCGCAAGCCCCCGTCCATCGATGGGAAACCACACAAGCCCTGTGGTCAAGAATCCACATTGATTTTGTGGGACCTTTTCAGGGAAACTGTTCCTCATTGTCGTGAACAGTCACTCTAAGTGGTTAGAGGTCGCACCTGTCTCAACTATGAGTACTGCCAGGACCATCCAGGAACTGCACAGGATCTTTGCCACACACGAGTTACCCAATGTGATAGTCTCAGACAATGGGGCTCAATTTACCGCTACAGGATTCCGATCCTTTTTGAGGGCTAATATGATCAGGTACACCACTTCGGCCCCTTTTCACCCACCCTCAAATGGCCAAGTGGAGCGCAAGGTCCGGACGACCAAAGACTCCTTAAAAAGGATCATAACCGGCAACTGGCAGCATAGGCTAGCCGACTTTTTACTCTGCCAATGCACGACTCCCTGCACTTCCATGGGCAGAAGCCCAGCAGAACTCAGATGGGGCCATCGCTTAATAACTAAGCTAGATCATCTGCATCCAGCCCAAGTTGCCTTGGAATCAGCATAGCCAAGGCCAGCACGGAGCCTAAAAGTGGGTGATCCTGTTTGGGCTCAGAACTATGGGCAACGGGCACTGTGGGTGGTAGCTGTGGTGGGTAAGGTGTCTGGGCCACTCTCTTATGAAGTGGTCCTGGAAGACAGTCGCATGCTATGAAGGCACATCGACCAGCTGCGCAGAAGGCTAGCAAACCAGCCGCTGGCTCATGACTCTCACGAAAGCCAAATCCAGGGGAGCCCGACAGCAGCCGTGCATCGGAGTCTTCGAGTGAGGGCAAGACTCCCAGGGGAGGGGCACTAGTGGACAGCGAGTTGGCTCCGAACACAGAGACTGCACCCACTGAGCAATCTTGGCAGTCGGCTCCAAGTTTCATAGATGGAAACTGTTCCACCTATGGACACTGGCTCGGGACTACCCAGACAGACCAGCCACAGAGACTCAAGTCTACCCATAGCAAATGGATCCCAAAACCCTGGTCTACCCAGCCTGGCAGGCGAGCTAGTAGACTGGGGTCTTATAGCAGTGCTGAGGCACTCGGAATGGTCAAGAAAGCCACCTACATATTTACAGGGCTATGTTCAATATTTGTCATTATGAACTATCTAGGGGGGTGTTATGTATTGAGGTTTATTACTTGGAAACTGTTGGAAACAGTCAAATGGCTGCACCTGTTTAAGCTCCAGACTGACTGTCTACATGTTAATTAGCTTGTCTTTAAGCGGGAAAAACTGCTTCAATTCTATTGGCTTCCACCTAGTGGTGAGGTGTATAAATACTGGTTAAGCAGCAGTTAGGGCTGCTTCTGTTGTGAACTGAATAAAGAGTTGTTGTTTGCACCATTCACCTCATCAATGCCTCACTGAACTAGAAACATAACACAAAGAATTGCACCTACTGGAAAATGTATGAATGGAGAAAAGACTGGACTTGGGGAGAAGAGAACACTATGGGAAAGTCTTGTCAGGACTCTTTGCTGGGACCAGAGAAGCCCTTCACTTTGTTTTGCTGAAGAGAGAGGAGACAAGGCACAGAAACTCTGCATTTACTATTTCTTGTTTTATAGAAACTGCAAATTTATGTCTATAAATTTACTCTTTTAATTTTTTTCAATATTAATTGCAATGCTTTTTTCAACATTAAGTACTGCATACTTTTAAGGATTATACTTGGTGAAATGAATTGAGTCTCCACCTGGCAGTTATGGCCTTAATGGCTGCAGATCTATTTTAGACTTCTGCAATTATGGTAAAAGAAAACCTAAGTAACAATCTGAAAAAAAAAACCAGGAACTAAGGAAGGCTGCATTTCTAGAAAGGTAATTTCCAAGATTAAGGATAATTTAATCAGGACAGAAGCAAGGAGGGTAGAAGATTGCCTTTATCTGATACATGTTAGGAAAGGCACTTGGATAGGTATCAATACCTATCAATACCAACTGCAAATTTGTGTGTATAAATTTACTCTTTTCTCTTTTTTTAAATAGATTTTTAAAATATTAACTGCAAAGTTCTTTAACATTAAATGCTGCTTATTTTTAATCTATGAAATGAACTGAATGTAATGTGTGAATGCAAAGTATTTTTTGCTCAACATTAATCCTACATATAACTGAATCATCGTGAACAAAGTATGTATGAATTTCTATGCAATTAAAGATCCTGATTGAAATGAAAGATCATTTATAGAACATTTGTGTTACAGTGATTAACAAGGTTTTATTTGCACTAACTACAAAGCTGCAAAGCAAGATTCTGTTTACACTAACCACAAAGCAAAACTGCAAAGATCTACTTCAACACTAGCTACAAGAGGAACCAAAAGATTAATATTTAAGAAATAAAAAATTTAAATTTCTAAAAAAAACTTTTTTTGAAGTTTTTTATTTTTATTTTTATTTTAATAAATACAAGACATTATATTTATTAAAGAGAAAGCTTCTCTTTCTCTATATTTATTTTTCTATTTCCCTATTAGGACTACAAACTGTTTCCTGTAACCCAAATGCTACATCTTTGGATTGCAAACTATATCTAGAGGGCAACTTGTTTTGCATTCAACACTAGCCACAAGGGGGACCAAAAGATTACATTTCAGAATTGAAATGTTTATAATTAATTTTTAAAAACAAATTTAAAAAGTTTTGGAAATTTTTGAATTTTTTATATGTGATGTGCACTTTTGGATTTTTTTTAAAAGAGTAATTGCAAGAAAAAAACATAGTCTTAAAAATATAGTCATGGATTTGCAAAATCTGTTCCATAAATATATTCATACAAATGAATAAAAGCCAAATTTAGCACAATATACTGAAAAAGAAAAGAAAATATCCAAGAAGAAACCAGCATGGATGCATAAAGAACTCTCTGATAAACTGAAAGTTAAAAAGACAGTGGAAAAATGAAAAGAGGGGCACATAATTAAGGCAGAATAGTAGCATGTAACCCAATCTGCAAAGATGAAGTCAAGAAAGGTAAGATTCAGAATGAACTAAGACTTGCAACAAATGTCAAATATAACAAAAAGAAGCTTCTTTCAGCATGTAAAAAACAAGAAAAAGTCAAGGAGACAATCGGTCATGTAATAGGAGAAGATGGAAAAGAGCTGATGGACAGCAGGAGAAAGCAGAACTGCTTAATTCATTCTTTGTATCTGTCTTTACAGAAAAGGAAAAAACAGTCCAACCTACCAAAAGAAGTATCATAAAAGACAGAGAAGGAATCCAAGTCAAAATAGGCAATAAAATGGAAAGGCAACATATATTCACTCTAGATGACTTCAAATTACCAAGACCAGATGAATTACATCACAGAGTTCTGAAGGATCTGGCAGACATGATCTCAGAACCATGGATGTATGTCTTTCAAAGTTCCTGGAGCACCAGGGAACTACCAGAGAACTAGTAAGAAAATAGTAAGGTTTTATGCTTAGGCAAGAAAACCTAAATGCACAGGTATAGAATAGGTGATGTGTGGCCCAACAGCAGTAACTGTGAGAGGGATCTAGGAGTTCTAGTGAACAACCTCTTAAATATGAGCCAGAAGAGTGCTGCAGCTACCAAAAAAAAAACAATGCAGTCCTAGGCTACATCAACAAGGGATAGTATCAAGGTCACATGAAGTGTTAATACCATCTTATACTGCTTTTTTGATCACCATGGTACAAAAAAGATATTGAGATTGTAGAAACAGCGCAGAGAAGAGCAAGATAATGGGACTAAAAATATGATGAATGGTTGCAGGAACAGTGTGTTAAGTCTAACAAAGAGAAGTTATATGATAACAATTTTCCAATATTTGAGGGACTGTCACAGAGGAGGTCCAAAGCATCTGAGGACAAGGCAAGAAGTAATTGATGGAAATGTATCAAAGAGGATCCAACATGGAACAAAGTAGAAATTTCCTGACAATGAGAACCATTGATCAGTGAAATGGCTTCCCTCTAGGGCAGGGGTCTCAAACTGCCGGCCCGAGGGCCGGACGTGTCATCCGGAAGCCACGCCCACCCCATTGCCGGCAATGGCAAAACCATCCCGATATGTTGTGCGACGTCACATGACGTTGCAAGTTTGACATGTCTGCTCTAGAGATTCTGGGTGCTCCATCAATAGAGGCTGATAAAAGAGATTGGATAGCCTTTATCCAGAAAGCTATAGGGTCTCCTGCCTGACCAGGGGGTTAGACTAGAAGAGCTCTAAGGTCTCTTCCAGCTCTGTTATTCTATATTTTGTTCTGTATTCTTAGTGCTTCTAAATAAGAGGAAGCAAAGGTCAGGAAGGCAAGTAACACATCAGACTTGTTTGTATATGCTACGGGTGACTAATACATTCTGGTCATGAAAGCAGATCTGCACTAGCTTGTTGACTTAAAATTTGATCCATTTGTTTAATAGGAAGCTATTTAGTGTAATTGCTCTGCCATTAGTTGCTCTTGCATACATATTACGCACTGGAGGACTCTGCCATTGAAAAAAACTATGCAAATCAACCAGTCTATGAGAAAGTTAATCTCTTTAATGTGCTATTGCAGCTCAGCGTATCCAGTTGGCTTGCAATAAAATAGGTTCATGTTGTATCTCAAGCAGATGAAAACTCAATAGCTCAATAGCTGTTTGCATTTATAAGTTCCTATATTTAGCATTATGGTGTAAAACTGTGCAGGAGCTGCAGTTTGGAGGTTAGTTTCACAAGCAATCTGATCAAATCCCCCAACGGAATTGATTTTACAAATCAGAATGATAGTTCAGATCAAATAGCTAAATAGAATCATGTACTTCCAAATCAATTCGACAATTTGAAAAATCAATTCATTTTTCTGATTAATTCAAAATGTAAAAGGACAGCAGATCAACTATCAGACATGAATCAATTAATCTGTTTGTGGAGTCTGTGTAAACCAATCCATGCAATGCAAAAGAATACGCTCTAGTTTGCTGCTAAAAATATTTATTACAAAGAAACAGACATTTAGAAATGATCAGGAGCCATCTAGCAATTCAAAGCAAAAACAAGATATCATAATCACACATATTTCTATAAGAGTGGGCAAGTGCCGTTGGAAAATGGGCATTCAGACTGATTGATCAGCAATTTAAACATGATCTATAAAATATTTCAAGGGCCAGTATGCTTTTTTCTGCTATACCTTACAATATTGAATGCCATAATGAAAAAAGCAACATAAGAAATATATTTTACTAGCTTTTTAAACATTAAACATTACAAGGAAACTCAATTAAAAAGTATCTTTTAAGCCTACAATATTCTAAAGATAAAAATTTTAAAGTAGACTTAAAATGGTGGGAAATTAATTGATTACTTACAAATTCTGATGGTAAAAATAAAGGTGCCTTGGAATATACTAAAAAGTGGCACAGCAAGCAAATGGAGTCTAGGAACTGGCCATATCTGGCAATAAAATAATTTCTTGGGTGATTCTTTCATGCATAATTATGAATACAGAAGGGTCTCAGTAAAACAATGCAAAGTGTGATAGCTTCTAGCAAACCTAGATATGTCTTTTCTGCAGTAATAAGTTTGCATAGGTAAAGTGAAAGACAGCACATAACCATAACCCATTCAAAAATTATCATCCCTGGAACCACAAACATCCAATATTGTCTTGATTTTTGTGATCTGGGGAGAAAACGGAAATGATGCAGTTACAATGTTCAAGAGAGTTCAATATTTCCACTTACAAGAGTCAGGAAGTTATTGTAAGTTAAAATAAGTTTAAAATCTATTTGTGTTCTGTTTTATATTGTAGACATCAAAAATATAGACAATTCATTCAGAAGTGATAAATATTCTACATAGGTTGCATTTAGAAAAAAAGAAAGAAACCATGAGCATCCAGTATTATTCAGACCACTCTTCAATGTCACATATAATTTAGGGACAAAAACATATTTATCTTTTCTGAAACTTAAGAAATCAAAACATGTTCTTTGAATATTATTCTCTAAAATAATTAAAGATTTCAGAGTGTTCAGATTAAAGCATGTAGACATAAATCTACACTTTTTCCTCCCTCTGTCCCACCTCAGCATTTTCTTGATTTTTTTTTAAATTATTAATTTATCAGAATATAAAATACAAAGAAAATGAAAATAATGGGAAACCAGGAGAGGAAAAAAGGAGAAAACATGAAGTAGAAGGGCGGAAAAAATCCTATGAAGATGGCCATCCTAAGGAGGCTTATCTCTTTTTCAGCTTACTAATGGAATGAAAAGACATTCCTTTAGTTTATATTATTCTCCTGGGTCAGGGAGATCCTCCATACAGCAGCAGTCTTCAGGAAGCCTCAGGAGCTGTGCTTTGGATAAGTTCATGAGTTGTTCAGCTAAGGGATGGGGCTGCAATCATTTCATTGCTGAAAAAGCCGCCATTTTGGAATTTATTTTTCAGATGGACAATAAGCCAAGAATTTTACTTCTTAGTCATTTAATGGAGTTATTCTCTTCACTAGCTAAAAGAGGTTCTTTTTCAATATGAAGATTTGTGCCATTTTTGAGACTCCTTTATTGTTAAATGATAAGGAAAAGAATTGCTGCAGGCAAGCTAAAAAAAAAAAACCCCATGGAAAATCTTTTTTTAAACTTTGATGATAAACTATTATGAAGATGGTTTAAATACAACCCTCCCAGAGAAGAGCTCCAAGCGAATCTATAATTCTCAAGAGGACGAGTTTGGGGTTTTAATTCATAGATAATAAGAAGGTTGAGAATTCTTTGAGAAAATGAGACTTCATAGACATTCAAGGGAAAAAGATATTTTCTATCAGGATAAGCTGGAGGGAGTGACTTAAATTTAACTAGTTAATTGAAGTTAGGATGGATTTATGCAAGTCTGATATATGTTCTTGAAAGAAAGCTTTAATGTAATCTTTTGTTTATAAAAGTGAGTTTGAATTTTTTTTCATATACAATGCTTGAGTAATTCCTAAAGCTTGTAAAATATTATTGAAAGTGAATTTGAATATATTAATTTAAAAAAAATAAAAAGATGAATTAGAATTTAGAATTCATTGATTTTAGAAATATTTTTAAAGAAAAATTTAGAGTTTTAAAATAAATGTTAAAAATGTTTTTTCCCTTTAAGGTTAAAGAATCTGAAATAGTATAATGAATGATGTTAACATCAATGATGATAGTCTATAAAGATTAATAAGTGTAAACAGAAACATATATTATTTCCCACAGCAAGAAAAAAGAATGATTTAAATTCTGTGTTATTCACAGAAAAGAATATATCTAATTTTGTTTCCATTTGGAAACTGCTTCTGGATTTTGTGCTTGTAATAGAAAAAAATTAAACTTTGAGTTTGGTTTTGCTAATTAGATAAGTCTGTTGTTATAGAAAAGGCTAGTATGTGTTATTGTGTAAAAGTAAAAAGTTGAGGTTGTAGTGTTATTATTTTCTATTGTGCTAAAAAGAAGTCAATTCCTACCTTGGTATTTTCCTGTATCAAGAGCATGGGAAAAATATATTGTTTTCCACAGGCAGAATTTGTGAACATTCCCTCACCAGGATTTGCATCATTATCCGACCATCACTGCAGAAGTATTAAGCAAGGTCACCATGATGCAAAGTACAAATTGGGCACAACATAATGGTTTTATAAAGCAGGGGTACCAGTTGCAATTTTTTTTTGTATTTTTTATTTTTTAAGGCAGATAAGTGTATTTGCATGTGCTGGAAGTGAATATAATCTTTAATAAATTTTGAATATCTAAAAAAATAAAATAATTGGATGGCACTAAATGGAATTCTACTCAGGGCAGTGCTATAAATTGCACTTCTTGTACAAATGTCAAGAGATGTTTCAAATTGCTATGGCCTCAAACAGAATCTGAATTATATTTCTGCTATTATGTAGGACAAGAACTGGCCTGTGAATAGACATGAAAAATGCAGGTAAATATTTTTATTATGTTCTGGGCTAAGCTGATCAGATGCATAAATTACTATTTAGTGTTTTCATCAGCTGCAATCTTGAGGAGTTTTGGTATCTGCAAAAGAAGACTAGAAACTTGAACAAGCAAGCAGTTACCCATCATATGAAGAAAGAATTGTAGGAGAATATTAGAAAAGTTCCAATAGGATATATCTATTTTTAAGACTCTATAATCATCTGAAAAAATTTCCACGACCAGATGCTTTTCCCACCTAACCTTAGCATCTCAAGCATTTTGTCCCCATTTTTACATTTTTGTCCTACCTGAGGAATTACACATATTGTCTGACAGGCCTTCCTGGTCTATAGTCCTAGAAGGAATGGTAGATGGTCAGTTCTGTAATATACATAGATACAGTTCAACTATTTTCAAAGGGGAAAAAAACATAATAGGTTATCAAATGGCATATAGCCTGGATACCTACAGGATCACACCTTTCTCCTGTAACTGTCCAGCCATTAAAATTTGATAAAGTTGGCAAACTCCAAATCCCAGATATAGAACAGTGTCACCTTGCAGGACCTAGGAGATGGCCCTCCCCTGCAGCTGCAGCTGCAGCTGCTCTGCAAAACAGCATTCTTCCTATACAGCCTTGACTCTGCTGCAATTTCATACATCTTTAAGGACCTGGTTCTTCCGTCAGGCCTTAGGACAAAGTGCTTCATAATCTACTCTTTAGTATTGGATTTATATTACATAATGAATAACTGGATTCTTTTTTATTATTGCTTTTCTCTGATTTGCCATTGGTATCATTAATTATTCTTTATATTATTAAATTGTTGATTTTAAATCTAACATGTAAGATGCTTAAAGTTGCCTAGAACTGACATACAAGTTGATTAAACAAATAAAGAGCTACCCTAGATCTCTAACCAAATAGGATAATGATATCAATAAATTAATGATTTACTTCCATCCAATTCAGAGATACCTTTTTCTTCTCTTTTAGTTTGCAATAATCACTATGGCACATTTATTTTCCTACATTATATAGACATTATTCCTAGGTATGTCAACTAAAAATTTGTACCCAGATATTTTAAGGGACTTCCACTTTCTGACTTCTGATTCTTAATACAGCTTCTGATTTATCTTACTTGTATCATCACAATAGCTCCATTGACGGTCTGCGTCATAGTTCCTTGTGACAGAACACCAAAATCTTCCATTGTCTGAATTTTGATTGGTGCAAGAATTGAATGTGTTCCCATTGTAGATGAATGGAAAGAAACAGCGCTTGCCTTTAGAGTTACCTTCATATTCTGTAGATATTGAAAACACAAAAATAAAAAAGGAGGTAGCCTTTGTATTGGGGTGAACTTTAATCTTATCCATAAACATTTCAGTTCCCTGAAATCCTATTCTTTGTCCTATCAAGGACTGAAGGCCTAGGACCTCAAACTCCATTTTTCCAAACTACATCTTTAACCTCTCTTCTTGCAAAATAGTGTATTTCCTGCGCTCCCCCCCCCCTACATTATTTTTCTGACCCAATTCTTTGGATATTTAGAAAAAAGATTTTGAATCATAGGTGGAGATTAAATGAATCTATTCAACAAAAGAAGATAATTATAAAGGGCTGTAAAAAAGAAATTAAATGGATATTTTGACAATAACCCAAATAAAGGGACGAATTTGATGACTGCTTAAGATGCCAGTAAAGTGGTCCTGGGGGCCATTTTGTACAACATAATTGTCTAGAGAAGAAAAGTGTCAGTGGGAAAAGATAAAATCAAGAACTTATATGAAAATACCAGCATGGATTTCAACAATGGAGGCGTTTGTACATACAAACCAGTTGGCAGCCGTGACCAGGGGGGCGTTCTATCAGGTACGCCTGATCCACCAGTTGTGACCTTTTCTGGACCGGGACGCCTTGCGCACAGTCACTCATGCCCTGGTCACCTCCCGCCTGGACTACTGCAACGCTCTCTACATGGGGCTCCCCTTGAGGAGCACCCGGAGGCTCCAGCTAGTCCAAAATGCGGCCGCACGGGCGGTGTTGGGAGGGACTCGTCGCTCCCATGTAACACCGCTGCTGCGCGAGCTGCANGCCGGCGGCCAGACAGTGCCGGCTGGCGACCCCAAGGGGGAGGGCCTTCTCTGTGGGAGCTCCCACCCTCTGGAATGAACTACCCCCAGAGATCAGGGTGATCCCTGATCTCCCTTCCTTCCGCCGCGCCCTTAAGACATGGTTATTCCAGCTTGCAGGACTGGCCTAGGGAAAAGTTTTTAATGGGGGTTTTAAAGTAATTTTAAATTAATTAGACCAATTAGTAATATTTGTTTTTAATTATGTTTTAATCTGTAGTTTTGGGATTTGCATTTTTATCTGGTTGTTAGCCGCCCTGAGTCCGCAAGGAGAAGGGCGGGATATAAATATAAACAATAAATAAATAAATAAATAAAATAATTATGAGAAACTTGTGACTTATAAAGATATCTTGAATACTGATGGGAAACTAGAAACTAAACAAGAATTGGAAGAACAGGGCATTGAGCTAGCATGGTGGCCACATCTGCAAATGCAAATGAGATATGAGAAAGATGCAAAAATATATGGTTTTTACAAAGACCAGACAGTGTTAGACCAGATACTATTGTCATCAGATGACAAATTGATTAAGAAACTGTAGAGCTTTCTGTTAAATTTAAAGATGGAAGATGAACAAGTTAAAGAAACAATGATAACTAGGGCAAAAAGCTTTGGGCACAATGTAGAGTTAGAAAAATGGCAAACCTTATAGGAAAGAAACTACAAAATAACAAGGGCAGCTACTTATAAAGAAAATTTATATAAAATGTTCTATAGATGGCATTTACCACCTGCAAGACTAGCAACAATGTTTTAAAATATGTCTAGCAATTGTTGGAAATGCAGACAAAATCCAGGCACATATTATCATCTTTGGTGGACATGCCCTAAAGCCAGTGGTGGGATTCAGCCGGTTTGCACCACTTCGGCAGAACCGGTAGCTATTTTTTTGTTGCCCAGGCCCAGAATGGACTTCCAGAAGCAGCATCCACACAGAGAACCGGTTGTTCACATATTTGAATCCCACCACTGCCTAAAGCAAAGAACTATTGGTCAAAAATACATAGATAGCTAGAAAAGATGATAGGAGCACATGTAGACTATAAACCGGAATTATTTCTTTTAGGTATAATTTCAGAAAATTATGATAAAAAATGTGTATACTTAATATTACATATATTAACAGCAGCGAGAATTACATTTGCTCAATACTGGAAAAATGAAGAAATACCATCTGAAGAAGACATAATTAAGAAAATGTTGGACTGTGCAGAAATGGATAGGCTCACATTGAAAGTGAAGGAGAAGCAAGATTCAGAATACTTTCAAACATGGGAATTTTTTTTATAAATGGTTAGACAAATGGAATAAAGGGTAGGAATGGAAATTGTATGATTTTTGGAAGGCTGAGGGGGTCTGGCGGGACTACCAGATTGACTCTTTATTTTCTCTTCTTGACGTAGTTGTCCTGAATCTTTTCTTCCATCTGTTTCTCTTCTTTATCTTCAAATTCCTTCTGATTTATATAGCAGGTTTTTTCCTCCATCCATGTTGTCAGATTTTTTTCTGAATTTTCTATTGTCTGTATTTGTTGGACAGTTAATAGTCCTAGTACTTAATTGTTCATAGTACTTAATTGTTCAATTTTTCCTATTGTATTCTGTATAGATAGGTTTTTAGTTATAGTCAAAGTTTGAGTTTGCATATCTAAGACACTTTCTGGTTTTTCCCCGAATGCTCTTATTTCATTGCCAGCTTTAAGAAGACTTTGGTAAGTTTGGTAAGTTATTTTCAACATAGCAAAATTTTGTTTTTGCATTTCTTCCATAGAAAAGGTCTGTTCCTGGATTTCCATAGTGGTGAGTTGAATTGAAAACTTTCACAGTTCCCCCCCCCCTAAATAAGAAACAGAGCTAAAACTCTCAAGGTTGTTGATGTTCAAGGTTACCAGATAAATCTTATCTTGTTTTCTAAACTGTCAGCCAGGTCTCTTTTCTTTAAGAATAATAAATTGCAATTTCAGGTTTAGCCACAAGATGTCACCCCATTGTTTAGGGAATTCCTTTAAATCTCAAAGTTATTGTAATCCTTTTGGGGGGGGGATTCTTCTATTTTAAGAGGAAAAACCCAGTCTTTCGAATAAAAGTAAAAAGTAAAAAGTAGATAATCAAAAATCTTTTAATCCACAAGTTTTAAGAAATAAAGTTCCAATTGGGATCCATTTATTTTTTCAACATTTTCAAAAAAAAACAACCCTCCCTTGTGTATTCAATTGCCGCTGTTTCTGGAGGGAGGGCTAAAATCACCCTTCCCTCTCCACAGGGGGGAAATTACTTTAGCAGCTTATGCAGATAATTAAGTAAGTAGGATGTAAGAGAGGTAGTTCTCAGCCAGTTCTTCTCATGCTGCTTTGAAGTTGCTAGATCAGGGGTGTCAAACTCAATTTCATTGAGGCCGCATCAGCATTGTGGTTGCCCTCAGGGGGCTGGGTGGGTGTGGCCAGGGTAGGTGTGGCCTATTGGGTGTGGCCACCTCTACATCGTTCGTGTTAAAGGTGCCTGTGGGGGCCTGGGCAGGAGTGGGACAGATCTGAGGGTCTCTGGCAGAAGGGGGTGGGACCAGGGCAAGTGCCAAGGCATGGTCCACTGGAGGAGCCTCTCTGTTCCTCTCAGGCCATGCAGGAGGAGCTTATGGAGCTAAGACTGAATGCGTTTCAGCATAGATGGCCACCACAAAATTGTACATTGACTCCCGGCTGGCTTGGGCCAGGGCCAAGGCAGAGGGGGCCGTTCCCTCACTCTTTCCAGGATGGCTTCATGTGCCACATGAAACCACTTCACGGGCCACATCCGGCCCCCGGGCCTTGTGTTTGACATGTCTGTGCTAGATGGTAAGTGTGACTTCGGCTGTTAGCAGCCTAGGGATGAGCCATATTTCTAGGCTGGTCCTTTCGTCTGCCGGTTTGGAGGGATCGCCTGCTCTAATGGGAGAGTTGCTGCTCTCCCGCGATCCAGCGAAAGCCTCTCCAAAAGTCACCTCTTTGGGGTGACTTTTGGCCCTTTTCAGGGGCCCCCAGGGATGCAAAACTGAACAGGGGAGAGAGAGAGAGCAAGTCTCCCAGCCGTCAATGGTGGCCACCTGGCAAACCGGAAGCTGGATGGATGGTCATCTCAATATGACATAATATATACAATAATACAAGAAATCTTTGAGGGTCCTGAAGCAAGGACATGGAAAATGATTTGGCAAAGAAAAAAAGCCAGAATAAGATTGAAGAAGAATGGAGTGTGGGCATATTTAGGAGGTTTAAAATAGAATATACTTAAGTAGACAAGACCCGTATTTTGAATACGAGATATTGTTATGATATGAAGATAAAGAAAAATGTTGGCTAATTAAAACCTAGATGCATAAATATCAATAGTTAAATTGAAATATTGAAGTGTTTATAAATGTTAGATAAAGATGATTAAGACATATATAGATTAAGAGTGATGTAACGTAATTAACATGTTTTGATGTAGTGATAAGAATAAAAATTATAAGCTTAAATATGAGAAAGTGAATATAAGGAGGAATGCTGAAATGAGAGAAATTTTGGTTATTGAATTTATAATATTTGGAAATTATAATGAAAATAAGAATGTTATATTGTATTACTAATTTGTTGATATAGAAGTGAGATATATATTCGGAATAATAGATGTTGGGGGGAATTGTGACAAAGGAAATTGGGGTCATTTAAAAATTTGAAAATGATAAATATTAAATGTTTAATTTAAATATCAACGCAAAATTAAAGCTGGGAAAATTCATAAGGTTATTGATGGTCCAAAAGATGGAATGTTAAAATAAATAAGACATATAAAATTATTGATAAATGTAAGAAAGCTATTAAGTAGCTGATGGATAGAATAAGAAGTATACTAATTTAAACAAGAGACAGTATGTATTAAGGGGAAAAAAGAGGAAATATTGGCCATAATAGTTGGAGATTTGTATTAATAATACCTGTATGTAATGGAATTATTGTAACTCAGACACCACATTGCTTTTCAAAGATATAATTGTAACATTGGAAAATTGATAAAAAGTTTTTTTTAAAGGAAATTGTATGATATTAATGTCAAACATACAAACCCAGACGTCTTGCTTACTAAATACTAAAGTTTGTTACTGTAAAAATCAATAAAATATACATTTAAAAAGTGTCAGGAAAAGATGGAAAAAATATTGTATGAAATTTGAAAGAAAAAAATTGAATCGTAAAGATGCTAATGATTTAAAGTTTTACATCAAGTTAAACTGTTATGTCAACAGTTGTCCATGTTAACACTTCAGGAAATAGAAACTAAACTGAAATTATGTGAAACAAAAATACTTTTTTAGTTTCTAATAAAACAGGAAGATGGCTGGCATATAAATTAAGAAAGTAAAGACAAAATAAGTATGATAATGAAAATCCATGAAGGCCACAAGGTAATAACAGATAATAATCTCATTATAAAGCCCCTTCACAACTTCTATTGCAACTGTTACAGGAAGCAGGAACTTGACATACAAGAAATAGATTATTATCTGCAGAGACAACACTTACCTATTAGAGACATCCTACAAATGAGGACCACTATAAAGGCTGAAGCTGATAAATCAGGAGTCAAAGAGCCTCAGACCATAAGATAAGCATGGAATGTGTCCTCTCCACATTCCAGCTCCCCGTAAAATTCGCCACAAGGTAATAACAGATAATAATCTCATTATAAAGCCCTTTCACAACTTTTACTGCAACCATTACAGGAAGCAGGAACTTGACATACAAGAAATCGATTAATATCTGCAGAGACAACACTTACCTAAACTTTCACAAGCTCAGAGACATCTTACGAATGAGGACCACTATAAAGGCTGAAGCTGATAAATCAGGAGTCAACGAGCCTCAGACCATAAGATAAGTATGGAATATGTCTTCTCCACATTCCAGCTCCCTGCAAAACTCTTATCTAACCATAGTGAGTCCTTGAAGGTTCTACAAATCAACCTCAATTTACAACCATTCATGTAATAACTGTTTGAAATTATAATGACACTGAAAAGTAATGACTTACAATCGGTCCATGTACTTATGACTATCATATCATCCCTAAATTTGGGCGCTTAGCAACCAGTATGTATTTATGATAGTTGCAGCATCTCTGGATCATGTGATCAGTATTTACAACCTTCCCAGCTGATTTCTGACAAGATCAGTAAATCAAAACTCACAATCACATAATTTCATGTCTAACAAGCATGGGTGATTGATAGTCAGTTAGGAAGGTCACAAACCCATAAACAAAAGCCTATGTGATCCTGATTCACAAACAGCATGCATTTATAATGATTGCAGTGTCCCACTGTGACATAGTTGCTAATTGCGAGCTTCACAAATGGCTTCCAACAAGCAGAAACAATGGAGAAACTGGCACTAAGTTGAAAATCATAGTCTCATGATGTCATGCATAACAACCACATGCAGTTCACTTAACAACCAAACCAGAACTGCTATAAGTCCAGCATGTGATCTTTCACTTAATTACCACATCACTTAGCAACAGAGTTTGGCCCCTATTACAGTTTTTAACTGGGGACTACCTGTATTTCCTTCTCCTCAGATGCCTTGTCAGAATGTGCAATATATAGGTAATGCTCATATCCTATTTTATTTATTTATTTTGTTGTTGTTGCTGCTGTAAAAAAGAGTGGGACTCTGTCCTTTATTGTGCTACTTGTGTAAAAACTGAACAGAATGAAAACAAATTGGGCATGGAAACAGAAGGCAGCAAAAGAAAGATCAAATCTAAAACAGATTGGATGAAGTATGTCAGCAGAAAAAAAATAAATTTGAACTCTCCCTGGAGGAATTCCTATGGTAGAAATAGTTGAGGAGAAGCTTGAAATATGGCTGGTTGCTCCTGTCTAAGCCTCATCCTTCATCATGTAACCCAGCTTATATAGCCCACCTTATATTTTCCTAATTCACACATGCACAGAAACATGTGACCACTGCAGTAAGAGAGTTGGAAAGAATTCCACAAGCCATGCTCTGCATCCTTTCTCTACACTGTTTTTTTTAAAACACTGGAATTTTTACCTCATCAACCACAATATTTGTTGTTTACTCCATTTCAATCTTATTGCTGTCCCTCACCAAGAATGCATCTTTCACTCCAGTGCTTTCATTTTCCCTATTCTTTTTTTTCCGTTTCGACTTTCACATCCATCCACTGCAAATATTTCATTTGACTCACATGGACCTGTTTTCCCATTCTTAATCTGGACTTCATTTTTATCTGTAATTGAAGATCTTGATTTGTAAATCTCATGTTGCATGAAAATTCCCCCCTGACAGGACATTTATTTATTCCATTGAAATATCATTGCAGCCATTCAGAGTCCCTGGATTTTGAGGGGGAAAGGGGAAAACAGGTGCCTATCCCACATTGTAGTTTCTCCTACCTTCAGTGGCACATGCCCTCCATTTTCTGTCCCTTTCATAGTTTGCGGTTGTGGCACACCATAATTGGCCATCATAAGCACCATCTTTTGTGCAATAATGGTAAATTTTGTTGCTGAATGTGAAGGGAAACGTGCAAGGAAGGAGTTCTGAAAAGGAAATATAATGGGGGAAAGAATTAAGCAGGACTCCTAAAATAGGTTCTATGGACTAAGCTCACTTTCATTCAATTATTCCCCCCTTGCCTTCCAAGTTTATTCCCACCTGTCATTACTTCTTCCTAAATCCTCTAACAAAGGAATAACTTAATAGTCGAAGATTAATTCCTACAGTCGCAAAAGGTTATCAGATAGCATTCTGAGGGCATTTTGAGGGAAACACTTTTTTTCCTTGATGAACTCATGGCCACTGAGTTCATCACTCCACAGCTGCTGAGTGTCTCCTCACTCACAATCCTAATAGGGATGGGCAGGGCTTAAATCAAAAGTCAAAAAGATGTTTTAGAGCAGACCTAGGCATGCAGACTGCATATGGCTGCATGCCTGCATTTCTTTAACCCTAAACATGCATTTTCCTCACATTCCAGGGAAATCTGCAGCTTCTTACTTATTCAAAAGCACATTATCAACTTTGGATCCAAAGCACTGCACTTCCTTATGTCCTGATACCTTTGTGAGCTTCACACTACTAAAGACATCATCAAATTGGCCCAGCAAGTACTTTCAATTTAAATAGTTACAATTTGATTTTAATTTGAAATATTAAAACTATTTTTTTCAATTCAATTGATTATTTGCCCAATGGCTCCTACTAATCCTTCCCTATGTAAAGATGGGCTGAGAAAATAAAAATTTACAAACATGTAATACAAATGCAAGCCAAGGTACTATCTAATCACAGTCTTTTCTGTACAGTAACACATAATTTTTCCTTCCATAGGAATTGATGGATCAATCTTCTCTTATCTGACCTTCAGTTGCCCTTTTGCTTTTACCTTCAACTACAACTGTCAACTATTAGACATCTTCTTTCTGCTTCAAATGGCCCAAGTAAATTGTTTACTTAGTGACTTTTTTCAATGCACTTCTACCACTTCTTCTCATTAGAGGTGTGTTAAACTGAACAGGTAGCAGCTCTTGGCCAATGATGAAAAACTAAGCAGATCACTTCTGGCTATCACTGGTGATGGAGGTCAATAAGAAATCTCATGGTTATAGAGAATTAGAAAATATATCCCTGAATGGCAAATCAGTTCTAGTTTGTTGCCAAAAAACCCAACATGGATATGTTCTTGTAGTCCTCAAGAATCAATTTCTAAGACAAAAATGACTATTTACTCTTGTATTGTCTTACTTCAGATATATAACATCTTTCTATGCTTTGTTTGTCAGTGTTATTCCCAGTACACTCCTCAGAGGTAAATTGGATTGATAAATGGTAACTGGTAGAAAGTGTTCCCCAGAGTTTTTGCAACTTAGTGTGGATTTGTACATGATTCTCCTCTCTTCCAGTCTAATCATTAGCAGAGCTAGATAGCAGGAATGTCCAAAGTATTTCCTTCTATCATGAGTTTTTCCATACCTGAGGGTGTACAGTAAGTCCATTTCGGGTGTGCATCATAGTTTCTGCTTAAAGAGCACCAGAGCCTTCCCTCAGAAGACCCAGCTTTTGTGCAAGCTGAGTAGAATTGTCCCTTGTAGATAAAGGGAAACACACATGGCCCCTGTGAATTTGCAGCTAGTCCTGAACAGCATTGAAAAGATGAGTAAGAGAGTCAGTAACCACTATTGAGTTCAGCATTTAAGTTAATGTATTTTGGGCTCAACTGCAGTATATCATAAATTATACTGAAAACAAATCTTTGTGTTTGAAAAGGTGAATCACATTATTTAATCTCATATGACTGTTCAAATTGGAGATACTAGAACTGGGCATTTTATGGCCCCCAATCATATCCATCTCTTTGGCTGTTCCTTCAGGCCTGTGTGAGGTCAATTGGAAATTAAAAATCAAATGTAAATACAGTAAGTGCTCTGCAGGGGCAGGAAAAGAAGTCCATATTAGGCTCTGCACAGTGATCAGGTGCTCTGTTACTTGGCTGGCAGTCACAGGAAGGCAAGGAGGGAAAGCCCTTTTCTGCACCTGCACAGTGCTCAGCCCTCACCTGTAGCAACCTGAAGAGCAGCAGTGATCATCATATGAGGGGACTTGGGCTCAGCCACACACTGCCATATCCTCAAAGCACAACCTTGCAGGTGAGTGGGTGGAGTTCAGTCAGGAGTTATTGGTTTGGTGGTCCACAGCAGCCCCAGTTCCTCAGTGCTCTTTGGGGAAATTAATTGTCCACCCCTAATTCAACCATTATTTGTGTTTTACATTGAACATTATCAGCTTCCATGACCATTAACCTATTTCTCAAGATTTAAGGGACTGAATCAAGGACCTTGGTTATATGCCCTGCCTCTAAACTATTTAGTATCATTTCTTCCTTCCTCCAAAATGTATTCATTTCTGCACCACTCTCAACTTTATTTATCCATTTTTTATCAATTAAAAGGTCTTCTTACTTTCCTTTATGTACAAGTAGCCTAGACATACCAATTACACCAAATAAGCTAACACCACACAGTTATCTTACTGGTATCAGCACAGTAGCTCCATTGTTCATCATTATCATAACTTCCAGTTGTTGCACACCAGAATCTTCCTATTTCTGCATCTTCATTCGTGCAAGTGTAATACGTACGTTTCTTGTACGTAAAGGGGAACACACATTGTTTTCCATCAGAATTACCACCATACTCTAAGCATAAGAGAAAGCAGTAAAAGATATTATTTTAACAGTGTTCTGTATAGTATTTTAGATTTTACTTTCATATTATTGAGCCCCTTTGTCATGTGTGCATTTGAAGAGTCATACATCTTATGAGCCATGGTGGCGCAGTGGTTAGAATGCAATATTTCAGGCTAGTTCAATTCTCATCAGCTCAAGGTTGACTCAGCCTTCCATCCTTCTGAAATCAGTAAAATGAGGACCCAGATTGTTGGGGGCAATATGTAAACTGCTTAGAGAGACTGTAAAGTAGTATATAAGTCTAAGTGCTATTGCTATTATGTTTCAAGCACAATGTTTAAAAACAAGTATCCAGTTTCCAAAATAGACTGAAAATTTAATGTTGCTTTGGAATAGTCTTATCCTAATGTGGGTTTAGGGTTATGGAAGAAATTTCTCTGCCCACCCAACAAACCAATTTCCTTGGTTTCTAGAAAGGGTAAAAGAGAATATCATAAAACAGGATTTATAAATAAGAGATTTATAACTCACAAGGAGTGAAATATCATAATAAACCAGAAAAGTTATTATGATATAGCCAAACCACAGACACTTTTATAAAATACATAAATTCTTTTTTGACAATTTGAGACACAGAACCCATTTCTGGGACAGGGATCAAATGGCTTGTCATTTCAATTAGATTTTTTTAGTCTTGTATAATTAAACTGCACATTGATGGGTAGTTGTTGTGGAGCTAGATTAAGTTTACAAAAGTGCAGACAAACTTCCTACAATGCCTGTTTTAATTATATACCAGATTAGGCCCAGAAACATTATAAAAGGAATCAATTGACTGTTTCAGGATAATTGTTATATTTCCTAACCCTACTTAGTAATGTAGCTCAGAAATGTAAATATGTCGAACCTTTAGTAGCACAATACTTCCATTGTGGAGATGTATCAAAGTTTGCAGTGGTAGCACACCATGGGCGGTTCTGGCTTGCAACTTCAGTGCAAGAATTATAGGGTTTTCCTTTGTAAATAAATGGGAAGACACAGGGAGGAGGGACTAAAATGGAAAAAGAAGACAATATCAGAATTTAAGAAATTCCCTGCTAAGCATTCATTCCTTGATTTAGAAGTAGGAAATGAGTCATGCAACAGAACTAAACACTATTTAAACTATCTAAATAAACACTCCTTGAAAATCAGTCTCCTAAAGCAAAGATCAATGATATTCTATCCCAGGTGAAATGAATCAACACATTTTCCTTACCTGCTGCAAGGAGTGATTGAAGAAGAGTACTGAATAAAATAAATGCTATGATTGTGTTCATTTTCTCTCTAAATGCACCTGACAGCCCTGGAGAGGGATGTCACAGCCCAACACTGGGTCCTTCAAGACTGTGTGTTGAAACCAAATTGAACCCACTAAGATGAAGACTGAAGCAATATTTCTTTATTCTGCGCAGGACACAGGGAGCCTGTGTGTTATTGTTGAATTCAGCCAACTCTTTTATACTCCCAAACTACAAAACCCACAACTCTGAAATGCTGTCATTTCCTTTGCCTTATATGGCTAAAAACTCCTACAGGAGTTACAGATATATCTATGTACATAAACTGACCACAGGTTTTCACAATGTAACTCTTTCAGCAAGCTCTATGCTCTATATATTTAGTTTAGAAATAATTGAGAATATTTGCAACATCTGCAACTCTATGATTTTCACTTCCTCCTGTGCAACTTGTCTTAAAATATATTTGAGAATTGCAAAAAAAAAAACAACATTTCAAGCCTCTGGCCTTCTACTTAGCCAAACTATAAAACACATGGAGTTATTTTATTTCAGCAAAGTTGATTAATATGCTTTTTTTATCTAGATGTCTATCTTTTTCTAATTTTTCCTATCAAGAGTACCATATTTTTATATATTCCATAAAGCATCTCAGTGGTCATCAATTGTTGATATCTGCATGATCATCAAGAACAGAATAGGTGCTTCATAAAAAAATTTATGAAGTGAGATAAAGGAAATTTGGGTTACCCGAAAATCAAATACTATGGATATTAAAGGTCAAATTGGAGTACTGTAATTAAAAACTAAAAATTAGGTAAAACTTAATAACAGGATACAGATTGTTTATGAAGATCTATTAAGATATGTATAAGCAAAAAATGTATTGATAAATGCGAGGATGAAGATTTCACTGAGTTTGATACAATTAGAAATTTACTAGCTTAAATGTGATATAGTAAATGTTAAGGGAAATAGAGAAGAAACATTTGATGATGTAACCTGAGATATATACTAAATATTTTGTTACTGAATTATTGATTAACCCAAGCACCACGTTGCTTTCTAAATACTTAAATGTAAAACTGGGAAGAAGAAAAAAGATCAGAATGGGTGCTTTGGCAACTATTTATTTCTTCCAACACCATCAGTTCCTCCCAAATTTATTCAAGGTGGTATGAGGGGTCCTTGATGCTCTCTGAGCTTGGTTTGTTTTCTTGCAGAGGTTTCATTACCCAAGCTAGGTAATATTGTCAGTGCTAATCCTGATGATGTTGATGAGAAACCTCCTTCACCCCAATAAAAAATATAATTTAATCAAACAACATACATTAGCCAATACAGGAAAAAAAATCCAATGCAAAGAAAATCAGTCTGACTCAGGCCCAAGCTAAACAGCCTCAGGCAAACAAACAATTTAAGTGTCACTTAAACATTTAAAATAAGCTAAAGTGCCAGAATGCGAGACCGGCTATCAACAATTAAGACTGACAGGATTAGAACAAGGACACAAAAAGAACATAACAATAACAAAAAGATAACAAATAGAAACACATCAGATCTTTTAACTTTTTTCCTGAGCAATATCTGATAAATTAACCCATCAATAGACACTGCTCCATGAATCAGAAATGACAGTTTTAAACCACGAATCAGAAATGACAGTTTTAAAACCGTGAATCAGAAATGACAGTTTTAAAACCATGAATCAGAAATGACAGTTTTGAAAACCATGAAAAGGTATAAAAACTCACACTTGGGGACCCCTCTTCCTAGCTAGCCTGGGATTCATGCTGAATTGTCACTCAACTTTAATCTCCATGATTAAACCTGTCTTTCCAGTAGCTGGCTTCATGTTCTATTTATTCTTCTAGGGCCGTTTGCAGAAATCCCGGCTAGAAGAGCCTAAACGGGGGAATTCCTCCCAACAATGTCTAGCACTGATGACGTTATCTAGCTTGAACTAAATATCTGCAACAAAACAATCAAGCTTAGAGAGCACCAAGAACCCCTCATTTCAACCCTGAACTACAAATATTCTCCTTTATTGGTATCAAGGTGGTATCCTGTGCAAATTTCTTTGATACATAGAACCAGAAACCCCCTAAGTTGGTACTCTCCAGATATGTTGGAGTACATTTCCACAATTTAGCCTAAAGTCTGCAAGAGAACATAGAAAATTGCAGTATAATTGAGAAATGATTAAATTTGCTACAGTCAATCAATCAATCAGAATAGAGCTGGAAGGGACTTTGAAGATCTTCTAGTCCAGTGCCCTGCTCAAGCAGGAGATCCTATACAAGTAGCTGTCCAGTCTCTTAAAAACCTCCAGTGATGAAGCACCTACAACTTCTGAATGCAAGCTGTTCCATTGGTTAATTGTTTTCACTGTTAGGAAGTTTCTCCTTAGTTTCAGGTTGCTTCTCTCCTTGATTAATTTCCATCCATTGTTTCTTGTCTTGCCTTCTGGTGCTTTGGAAAATAAGTTGACCCCCATCTTCTTTGTGGTACCCCTTCAAATACTGGAATACTGCTATCAAGTCATCCCAGTCCTTCTTTTATTTAGACTAGCCATGCCCAAGTCCTGCAACTGTTATTCATATTAATAGTCTCCCTGTCTTTAATCATCTTAGTTGCTCTTCTGTGCACTTTTTCCAAAATCTCAACATCTGTTTTGTAATATAGTAACCAAAACTGGATGCAGTGTTCCAGGTACGGTCTTACTAAGGATTTATAAAGCAGTAATAATACTTCACATAATTTGTATTCTATGCCTTTGTTTGTGTTAGCTTTTTTGGCTGCTGCCACACATTGCTAGCTCATATTTAAGTGACCATCTGCTAGGGCTCCAAGGTTTCTCTCACAGTTACTGTTTTTGAGCCAGGTTTCATCTAATCTGTACTTGTACCTTTGGTTTTTCCTGCCTAGGTGTAAAACCTTGCTTTTCTCCACATTTCGTTTGATTTAATAGGGTCTATTGTTCAAGTCTGTCAAGATCTTTTAGGATTCTGAGCTTGTCTTCTGGGGTGTTAGCTATTCCAACCAGCTTAGTGTCATCTGCAAATTTGATGAATTTCCCTTCTATTCCCTCATCTAAGTCATTTATGATGATATTAAAGAGTGCTGGGCCTGCGACAGAATCTTGTAGTACCCCACTGCTTACTTCCCTCCATGTAGATGTAGTTCCATTAAGGACTACTTGTTGAGTACGGTTTGTCAGCCTGTTACTAATCCATTTAGTGGTGATACTGTCTATTCTATATTTTTCAAGCTTACCAAAAACTATGTTGCAGTCTACATTGTCGAATGCCTTACTGAAGTCTAAGGATACTATGTCCACAGCATTTCGTTGGTCTACTAATTTAGTCACTTTGTCAAAGAATAAAATAAGATTGGTTTGGCACGTTCTGTTTTTAATTTTCAGGAAAAATAATTGAATGCTAATGAATTGGTTGTATAAGATGATAAATTAGAAGAGGAAATAAGATTTTTGGTTGGGAAGGGGATGGATATCAAAACTGGTAAATTGGAAGATACAGATGTTCTACTAATTCTTGTACGTGTACAAAAGGGACCAGCCTTGTTTTACAATACTCTATCCATCATCTTGCTAATTTTGACCCTCATTGTTGACACTGCTGCTTATATGCAAATAAAGATTGAGATTATTGGTAGAGGGCTTCTTGGCAGACTGTGGAGCCCACGGAGAAATCAGATTTGAGGATCTGGAGGAAGGTTTCCCAAACAGTAATTTCTTGACTGCCTTAGAATGTTGCAAAATGAGGAATATTTGTCAGTTTCACCAATAAAAGTTTTCTATTAGCAGTATCAAGGAGCACAGTGTATTTTGTTGAACTTGCAATGACCTTTTGTTACTTTCTCCACAGTTCATCAGATGGTAACCACAATTGGCCTGCCTTTAATGGAAGGTGCAAATAATTCAGACAGAGGAGATTTGTGTTGTTGTTGTTGTTTTTTTAAACAAATTTTTATTGATTTTTAAAATAAACAGAAATACAATTATGGCATACAATAATAATAATAATAAAAACAAAAACAAACTGAATTTGGAGGATAATGTAATATAGAGTGATGGTAAGATCATATGGTTTTATGTATTCTTTAGGGAAAGGGGGGTAGGGGGGGCCTGAAGGGTCTTGATTTATGTCCTCATTTATTTGTTGGGGGTAGATTGATTTTGTTAGGTTAATATTATGTATGGTTATAATTAAATAAAATTGAGGTTTTGAGTTTTATATTAATAGCATCTTCCCCAGATCCAAGTATCTACAAATTAAACTTTGCCGTTTCTACAAATAAAAAATTAACTACTAATCTTACTACTATTAATCATCCAAATATCTTAAAACCCATTAAAAACCATCTTTAAATTCCTCTAAGACAATATAAGTCCTTTAGGATAATACAATTATATATCATTAATCATTTAAACTCTTTTTGATCTCGAATACATATCTTTTAAGTGAAATTTTCTTTCTTTTTTACAACAAATTTTAATAGTATAACCATATACTCTCTTCTTTATCAAATACTTCAATCCTTTAAATCTTATTAATTCAAATAATATATATCCAAAAAAATCAATTCCAAATCAAAAAAATTTAAAAATATAAAACTTTCAAAACGTTCATATAAGATTAACATCAAGAAATTCTTCCATAGCCAGTCCTTGCTTCCATTCTTTTTTTCGTTGCTGATCAACCTTCAAAGCCAGTGAATCTTCCGCCTTTTTCATTAACAATTTGTAGCGTGTTCGAAATTTCTGCTGATAATAAACCCATGTGATTCCATTATAGCAAGATCTTCTAAAAACACAAGCAGCAACATCTCCAGCTGGTTTACTCTGATGCACGACCCATTTCTATAAGCTTTTTTTTTCAAAATTTCATCAGGGAGGTACACCAGGACCATGACTGGATCTATTACAGCTTCCTTTCCCAGCTTTTCATGCTTATCCTTTTCATGATACCTTCAAAGCCAATGAATCTTCCACCTTTTTCATTAACAGTTTGTAGCATGTTCGAAATTTCTGCAGATATGATTCCATTCTAGCAAGATCTTCTAAAAACACAAGCAGCAACATCTCCAGCTGGTTTTCTCTGACGCACGACCCATTTCTATAAGCTTTTTTTTTTTTCAAAATTTCATCAGGGAGGTACACCAGGACCATAACCGGATCTATTACAGCTTCCTTT